CATATAGCTAACACCAAATAACTGAGATAAAGCTTGGATGATGGTGATGACAACGATGATTTAACTTTTTTATTCCATCTATTTGTAGTTATTTTGAGTGAAAACTAGACACTTTTAGTAAATTACTTTGAATAGAGTGAAAGCGGATAAAAAATTAAAATGTTCAAAAGAAAAAAAAAAAAGAAAAAAAGAAAAAAAGAAAAAAAGAAAAAAGAAAAAGGTGAAGTACTGATTTTAACAAATTACTTTTAATAAAATAAAAAACAATTCTTTTAAAAAATGAACCCACGTACAAAAATTCTTATCTCACCTAACTCTATGATAAAGATTGATCCGGGGCTGAATTATCTTGCAACAAATAAATCCAAAGAAGCCGTTACCTTTTATGGAAAAAAGAAGAAGAGTATACAACACCTACAAAAACTTTGGAAAAGAAAAAGTATCCTCTAGATGTGTGGAACGGTGCACAAGTACCCATCTAATGGTTGGGGTCTCATGTCCAACGGCAAAAAGATTTTTTTTTATTTATAAAATATATTCATCTAAATTTTAGGTGTAGGTTTTTTATGAATATAATTATATAACTACATAAAAATGATTATAAAATAATATGAATAAAAATAACTAAAATACCCTTATATTTGTTTTGATTTAAAATCAAAATATTTTTAGCCAATTTTAATTATGAAATGAAGCTAAAGCTCAAATTTTATATTACTATTATTTTTAAATAAATAAAAAAGCAATAAAATTTTATTTTGATCCTTGGATGTGGTTGGATCAATGGGAACCATGACGCGATACCAACCCAAAAAAAAAGTGTCTTTCTTTGTCCTTGTTCGTGATGGGAGCGATTGTCACGGAATCCCATTTGCAAGCCCTTTCGCTTTTACTGTTTACACATGTTTGCCATGACCACTCGTAACTTGAGTGGTTATACAAATGCGGAACAGTAGGTCTCCATCCATAACATTAACTGTGAACAAAAGCTTGAACAGTTTCCATTTTGTCGCTATTTTTCCATGTTTGGAACAATTTCCATAGGCTCAGATTTTAGGGAAAGGTTTCTATATTTGTCCTACAGCGTACAAGATATATACTCCTCCCCATTCAGCTTTTCAATTTAGATCAAGTGATCCACCGACCGTTTGATCTAGATCTGATGATTTAGAATATTTTATTTTTATTTTTTATATAAATTCTATGAATATGAAATTTGCCAGGTGCCATCTTCGGATGCACCTAAAAAAAATATTAAAAATAAATTTTTGATAAAATATAATAATCAAAATACCCTTTAAAACTTTCAGGGGTATTTTATTATTTTATTTTATTGAGAGTATTTTTTTTGCAAGTGGGAGTTTAAGAGAGGAGTGGATGCCCAAAATTTAGTATCAAAATATTTTGTAAAATCTACATTAAAAATAACAGAAAATTGCAAAAATGAGATTTTCTAAACAACCTACCCCCAACCAAGTTTTTTTTTAGCAACTTTTACCCCAAATTGAACTTTTCTAGCAAATTCCCCCAAATAAAACAAATCATGTTTTTTTTATGAAAATGCCCATAGTGCCTGACCGGCCCTATTTTGTGTCAGACTGCATGCTTTCCAGAAGCCCAAAGTGCTAAACCGCCCCCATTTTGTGCCGAACCGCCCCTATTTTGTGTCAGATCATATGCTTTTCAGAAGCAAAGTGACGGACCACCACCATTTTGTGCTGGACCGCATACTTTCTATAAGATATTTTGGTCTTTATTTTACTTTTTTTTTTTTTTTACTTTGAGGGTATGTACTAGAAAATTTAAATTTGGAGTAAAAATTACTAAAAAAAAAACTTGGTTGGGGGAAGTTGTTTAGAAAGTATTTGTAATTTTAGTGTAGAGACGTGGCATTGTGATTGGAACCATCTCAGCCATCAATTCAAAAGAGATGGTTGATTAGGGGCAAGTATATAAATTTGTGTAACAGGGGAAGCATAAAAAGCTTGCCCTAGGTTTTAGGTAAGTGTGTGGTTTCTATAAGGTTGCAATCTCAAACAATCCAATTAAGATGCACTTCTAAATTTTATCATAACATATAATTTTGGTGTAAAAATTTATTAGATTGTCCTACAATATATTTTCATCTCTAATTATAAAATTTTATACTAAAAAAATGGCTAAAATCAAGTAGATCTACAAACATATGAAAATCTAAAAAATAGACGGTCTTAGATAATGTGTTGCATAGTGCACTATTTCTAAGACTTAAAATCTTTTTGTTTTGTTTTTTTATCTCAATGTCGAGATGATCAATTAGAAAGTTTTTTCAACATTAAAACAATTTTTTTCGAAAGATTTTTGAGGCGCATCTGTAATTATACATTTTTCATTTATATAAAAAATAGTATCGTCTAAAAACTTTATCGAAAACTGCAAGTTTGGTTTCGGAAATCTTTTTAAAGCTAACAAATCTCTCTCTCTATCTAACTATAAAATTTGAAGTTTTAAAACTATACATCTTACAAATTTATAATCACTTGAAAATAGATTCATATCTTCTTCTTCTTTTTCTTTCCACATTGATAATAGTAACGAGATGATCATTTTGAAACTTTTTATACCTAATCTTTATTGGGTGTGGTTTCTATAAGGTTCCACCTTTAAATAATCCAATTAAAGCGCACCTTCAAATTTGATCATAACATATAATTTTGATGCAAAATATTTTTAAGATTATCTCAAAATCTATTTTTATATTTAATTACAAAATTTTAAACTCCAAAAATAGTTAAAAATCAAGTAGATCTAAAAGCATATGACAATTTTGAAAAGAAAGGTCTAGATAATGTGATGTAAGAGGCACTATTTTTGGATTCAAAATCTAATTTTATTTCATAATCACATCTCTTGATGTCAAGATGCTCAATTAAAAGGTTTTTCAACATCAAAATAACCTTTTTCTATAAATTTTTGAAGGGCATCCGTAGCTCTACATTTTAAGGTTGCCACCTTATATAAACTTTTTCCGATCTTTATTTTAACCTTATCCTTATCCAATTCCCCGGAAGGAACCAAGGACAGCCAAAATTTCACCGAGATTTTGGGACTACGAGGGAACAATATGTATTGTCCGTTGCATATGGAATCAAATGGCAAAGATTCGAGAGCTTCCTAAAGTAGGGGCATGGGATATGGGCATATCCTCCCTAAGTTTGGCGAATATTTCCTCTTTTAAATATCAGTTTACCTTTTCTACCCTTATATTTTTCTGACATATTCATAAAGAAGAGCAAATTTTTAGAATAAATAATTCTTTGTAGGATTGTGATTTATATGGAAGTTCCATATTTTAAAAGGGAACAAGTTTATATAAGGTCTCAACCCTGTAGGAGTAAGATGCATCTAAAAAACTCATTAGTAAAAGTCGTTTCTAGAAACCTTCAAATTAATCATCTCGAGATTCATAGACATAAAAAAAAGAAGGGGATTTTTTGTCCGAAACATAGTTTATTTTTTTTACATATTATCTAGACCATCCATTTTCAAGATTTTAAAATGTTTATAGATATGTTTCATCTTCATCATTTTTTGAACTTGAATTTTCATAATTCAGAACAACAACATATTTTTATATCATTACAAAGCTTTTCGGCACTAAAACATTTTCGACATGATTTTGAGATGAGCCATATTTCAATAGTAGTTGACACCTTATACAGACCTCATATTTTTTAAAGGTTTTTAATGTTATGCTTGTGATTGACTGATTGACCGAAATGACATGAGAACTTAACCGATTACAACGACGTAAAATATGAGGGATATCGACAATTGATGAGGATTCAGACGGTCCCCATCCCATCACACAAATCACGCCTCGGTGCACTAACCTTATCGTTCTGACGCGTTATCCTTCAACCCCGTCTTGCCACCCCATCAAATACGTTACCTTCTCCTCTCACTTAATTGGCCACTTTGACTAAAACACCCTCCCTCTTTTATTTCAGTGACTAAATGGCCATAGCCTCACATTCTTCGCCGGAGACGGGCTGTCTTTATTTCCTGGCCTGTACTTTAACGGCCCCGAAATGGCCTTGACGGTGTCGGGTCGGGTTCCATTTGACCTATTCTTATCAGATTAGGTTTAAGGCTCCAAGTCGATTAGAGCCGGACCTAATGTACCATGTTGAGTTGGGTCTGAGATTGAAAATAAAAATTGTAAAAAAATAAATTTTTATGTATTGTGTTCATATTTTTACATATTGGGTTGGTCCCTAATCAAGATGATTCCATAGGATCCAAGCCGGACTTGGAGCAGACAATCGATGTCGAATGTACCCATACCTTGCCCATCACATGGATTGTTTGAGTCCAAATCCTGACCTAGTTAGGTCTATGAACCGGGTCAACGCATTTCCCACCCTTGTGTTGAAGTAGCAAACGGGTATAATTGTCAGCTAGCATGTGGTTTGCAAACAATCCAAGTAAGGTGTGCTTTTTAAACTTTGTCACGAGAAAATTTTTAGAATGAAATAGGAATCCATTTTTATCTTTAATTACAAAATTTTAAATTTTAAAACTAGTATAAAAAATCAAGCGGATCCAAAAACTTATGAGAATGTTAAAAATAGACGGTCTAGATAATATGTTTCAAAACATACTAATTTCAGGTCTTAAAATAATTTTTTTCTTTATCTATACATCTTGATGTTGAGATGATCATATAAATATGTTTCCAACATCATAAAGACCTTTCCGGAATGATTGTAGAGGTTCGACTCAATTTTGCATTTGATTATGTCTAACTTCTATAAACTCAAGAACGGGATTGGCTCTAGTCCGTAGGGCATGTCTTTTTCACTTAATTGAGAAAAAATGAAAAAAAAAAAAAAACTCATGAAAATTTTTTCGTTAAATGAAACGGTTTGGATGTGCGTGTCATTTGAGTAATACATGCGGGGTGTGCGGCATCTCCTCGCTATAAAAGGCAATCCAGCGATAATGAGATTACATCCCTTCACTGCATCATTTCTAGCAAGCCCTCAGAAGAGAGAGAAACAGGATTCCAAGAGAAAAGGGCTCAGTCTACAGAGAATTTTTTAGAAAGAGCGAGCAATTAGTAATATTCTAGAGGGAAGATTTTAGAGAGAGAGAGCGGTGAGGCAGCAGGTTTAGAGCGAGAGGGAGAATCGTCTGGTATGACTGTGGATTGCCGGCTCTCCCTTCAACTTGCTTTCCTCCCTTTCCATCTCTATCGAAGAGGCAGCACTGTAATGGTTTCGACGCTGCGATCTCGCTTTTGTGAAGCCAAGTATGGCCCTGATGACTCTACTACTACCATCATCATCTCGGCCTTGAAGCCAAGCTCGGCTTATTCACTTTCTTCTTCTCCATCCAAGACCTTTGTTGCGGTGATCCGCTCCATTTCACATACCAAACTGTAAATCCCCTCTCTTAAAAACCCTAATTTCCGTGCTCAAGATCGTCGCTCAGCATCCAATGGCTTCTTTCCTTCATCCGATGGCCATGACTGGTCAAAGCAGCAGGTCTCTGTATCTTCAAAGGTACACTTTTTTCTCTCTTATTCGTTCAAGAACTCATAGGAATGGTGAATGGTTAGGGTTTAGTGTAGTTTATCTCTCTATGATGATGCCTTTTGTTTCTCTTTTAGTGATTATAAACTCTTGGAAAATGCTTAGCGATAGGGTTTAGAGTGTCATTTCTCTCTCTCTCTATGGCTACAACCATTTCGTTACGATCAGGTATGATCGTGGTTGGAATGGGAAGAAGAGGCTCCACCTCCTGGCTGCCTCCATCACAATGGGCAGTCAGACGAGGCATCACCCCTCCTCCACCCCCGCTATCGAGGTCTGTTTACTCTATTTTCCATCTTTGAAGTGTTCTGGTATGGCAGTTTGATTCATTGTAGATTTTTGTTTGCTAAAATTGAAGCAGGTGCAAAAGCTTGCGAGGAAAATGTTTGCAGAGGAGGTCTCGTTTCGATCGAAGGATAAAGATATCTCAATTGCTAAGGTTAGCCTCTTGTGAAGATTTGTGACCTTTATTATTAAAAATCCAAAGGTATCTGGACTTTTAAGTGATGTGGTTCATATGAAAATATTCTGGAGAACCTTTTACTTTTGTTCTTTTGATTGAGAGAGAGAGAGAGAGAGAGAGAGAGAGAGAGAGAGAGAGAGTAGTACTAGTAGGAGGAAGAAGTAAATTAAAATTTAATTACTACTATTAAGTAATAGTACTATAACTAATTATTACTAAGTTAAACGTCGTAGTAGTTTAGG